CAGAAACTGCCAGTGCTGCTGTGTAGCATCCGCGGTTGCCTTGGCTACACCCCATCCCTCCCTCCATTAATCTCTGCTCTCACCAGACGATGCACATAATGCATGCTAGCAATGCAGGTGAACTCTGTTTTAATGGGATTAGGTTACCTAAAAATGGGGGCACATCTGGATTTGCAGAGTGCTTGGTGGGGTCGTCATGGGTAGGAGAACATGTTATTTTTAAAGAATGCCTGAGAAGATGCTACCTGAGGGAAGAGGCTTTACAGAGCAGCTTAATGTGGGCTGAGGAAAGAGGGAGAGAAGGAAGCTGGAAGGATTGGAAGTGTCTTCAGGACATGGTGTCTTCAGGAGTGAGGAGAGTGACGAGATCTAATCTTGCCAGAGAGAAATACGTTTTTCCTGTGTTGATGTGAGAGAGCAGCTGTAGTGTGTGTATTGAATTTGGTGGTGGAGCAGGATTCCTCATCTTCTCCCTGTGTCCCAGCTGTGGGTGCCCATGCTCCTGGGGAGGCTCCTGCATTCTTACCGTGCTGCCGTCACCGCTGTACACACAAACAGCACCCAATGGCTTTCTGGAGGCACTCATGGCTTTGGGAGTAGAGCAGGGCAGGAGAGAGCTTCCCAAACGTGCAGGTCAGAGCAGGAGCTGCGGCGGGAGGAGGCTCCCGAGCCTTCCCGTACTCTGCCCATGCCCCATGCCTTGGCGACGGAAACGTGTGTGTGGGTAAAGCCTGCTCAGGAGCTCAATGGGCAGCTCTTACCTAGAAACAAAATTTAATGTTGTATTTTTTAAAACCGTTTTGGTCCTTTGGGAACGGAAAGTGTCCGAGTGTTCATCTGCCTCTGCAGGAGAGCAGCCCCGTGTGTTTGTCCCAGAGGCTTGTTACAATCCTTACCATTGCTGCTGTTTGTTGTTCTAACTGATGAATGTTAGCAAACTGTGCAGAGATTGCTTGGAAATATTTACCTAAAACATACGGTTTGAACTGCAATAAACAAACCTGCTGGAGTATTTGCTGAGCATGAACATGCAAGGGCTGTGAAAATGGCCGGACTTAATTCACTTTCATGTTCCAATGAATGTTTGCAAATATTTCTTCGCTGTAGCCACCCAGCTCTTCCAGATGTTGTGGCTGCCTCTTGGAAGCGCCTGTGCACAAGCTGAGCTAATAATATTAATCAAACCTCATGTTAACTTCCAGGGCATTCAGTCATTATCGCAGGAATTTTCTCTGCAGTGAGCAACTTTGCACACTTGGTTGGGATGAACCGTGCTGGGTTTGCCTCTCTTTGTCTGCCTCTGAAATACGGAGTATGGGTTGCTGCTCTGGGCAGGGTGATGGTAGGATGGGCCATTAGAATTAAAAAGGAAGAAAGTTTCCAGTGCTGGAATTTAAGCTCGATCCATGCAGGAACTGGCTTTTGGGACCAGCCGACGTCACCCCACTGTGGGGTTGAGGAGGTGCCACTGCTGTGGGCGCTGGGCGGAGGAACCCGCGGTGGTCGCAGGCAGTTGGTGGCTTTTGCTCTGCAGGGGACTGTCCTCCCTGGAGTGACCCCACCATCACCTATGGGGGCTGCTGGGGCGTGCGCTGAGGCTGGTGCTTTGGATTGAGGACACTGTCACAGCTGAGCTGTTCCCGGGCTGCTGCTGGTCCTTGGTCACTTCCTTGCTTTCGTGCCTTCCATGTGAACACGTTGGTGCTTGCATGTGGCGGTTTATCTCTTATCTCTACTTTAACATTTGCCATTTTCAGGCAGCACCAGCTGGTTCTGCTTGTGTCTGTCCCAGGTTCTGTTGTGTCATGTCCTTTGGTTTGGAGAGGAAGTCTCCACCCAGACCATCTCGAGATCCCGGGCATGGAGGAGGGCTCTTATTAGAAGGGTATTGCTTTTGCTAATAGCACGAGTTTCTTGCAGTAGTTGCTAATAGAGGCAGTTGTGCAGTTTCATAGAATCACAGAATAGTTAGGCTTGGAAAGGACCTTGAGATCATCTTGTTCCAACCCCCCTGCCGTGGGCTGGGACACCTCACACTAAACCATGGCACCCAAGGCCTCGTCTAACCTGGTCTTGAACAGTGCCAGAGATGGAGCATTCACAGCTTCCCTGGGCAAGCCATTCCAGTCCTTTACCACCCTTACAGTGAAAAACTTCCTCCTTATATCCAGTCTAAACTTCCCCTGTTTAAGTTTTAATCCATTGCTCCTTGTCCTATCACTACAGTCCCTAATGAAGAGTCCCTCCACACCATCCTTCGCATCCCTCTATTCTCTCTAATCTAGGCAGCCTTCTCTTCTCCAGGCTGAACAGCCCCAACTTCCTCAGCCTGTCTTCATACAGGAGGTGCTCCAGGCCCTGATCATCCTCGTGACCTCCTCTGGACTTGTTCCAACAGCTCCATGTCCTTTTTATGTGGAGGACACCAGAACTGCACACAGTGCTCCAGGTGAGGTCTCACGAGAGCAAAGTAGGGGGGCAGGATCAGCTCCTTCGACCTGCTGGTCACGCTTACGTTTAAACATAATTTGTTTGAAAATTCCTTGGTTTCAATTAGGTGTGCATCATGACTGACAGTGATTTATCTGAAACTTGGCAGCCACGAGGCAGTGATGTGATGACACCGTTTTGCATTACCCGACTAATTTTAACCTGCTGAGTCCCATCAGTCTCCACTAGCAATACCCTCAGGTCTGTGTGCGCTGCAGAAGGCAAGTGCTGGGCACTGCTGCTTTGAAGGAGGCAGAGGCAGTGAGGAAGGCCGGTGAGACTGGTCTGCTGGGAGAGTTTGGACAAGCACTGGGCAGTATCTCCTGCTTAAGAACATGATTCTCATCAGGTGGATCAGCACAACTTTAGGTTTTTAATACAAAGGGGTTTGGGTTTGCTATTTTTTTTTTTTTTTTCCTCCAGAAAAGCATCATAGCTTTGTCAAGATGGAAATACTGCAAAAAAGTAAATTGGGGCTGAATTTGTCCCTTCAGATTGGCTTTGAGAAGACCTGTGCAGATGCAAGACTTACTGCAGGCTCTCATCCCCTGTGTGTTTTGGGTTTGAATGACCATTTTCTGTGCTCTTTAACAACAGACCAAGAGATCTTGAGCTCCCACACAGCATGTGGCATAATGTGGACAGTGGCAATTGGTATTGACTTTGCAAACTTAGGATGATATTAATTCACTTCATTTCCTTGGGTTTTCCTCTGAGGCCAGCAAGTCCTGTTCATCACTGGGGACAGCTTTTTGCATTGATTCCTTTATCAGTAATTTGCTTCTGAATGTGCTGGTTTGTGAGTAAATAAGGATATTTTTTTATTCTTTAGATGTTTGTACCATGTGAGCTTCCTCACTTAATTACTGGCGAGAACCTGCTCCATTCTGGGTGTTGGTGGTGTGGGCATGGCTGATGCAGGCATTGCTGCCGGTGCAGTGCCCCTCGGGCCTGGCTCTGATCCCGGCGCAGCACCAGGCACGCAGAGCTGAGTGCTGGGTCCCGCTCTGGGGACGTGCTGTTGAGAGGCTGGTCCCTGGAGCCTGCAGCAAATGCTCCTGCAGAAACCCCACCGCAATCCCGGGGCCCCTTGTGACAGCAGATCAGCAGTGGGACTCTTTCCTCTTTCTCTGCAGCAGAGGAAGAAAGCTGCTGTCACAAAGACTAATCTCAAGGCGCTGGCTTTTCCTGTGCCAAGACCAGCATGTCCTGTACAGTCAGGGAGACCTAAGAATAAGAAGTGCTGGGTACTGTGTGCACTCTGAGTGTTCGCTATCTGTATTTGTGAACAAATACAAATAAGAAAAGCCGTTTCCCTTCCTCAGTTCTCTGCACGATCCCATTTGAGTTTTAAATGTTTTATAAATAGAAAGTTATTCAGGTATATTTACATTCAGGGTAGTGAATTTAAATTTAACATCTCATCAAATAGCATCTATTTAGGGAGTCTTTTTTTTCCCCTGTGATTTTCCCGAAGTGGCATCCTAACATCAGCCTGGGATGCAGTGGCCGAGGCTGCCATGCCCACGGGGCACGGACTGCAGTGGACCAGCTCCGCAGCACAGATGTGTCCCTCATGTCAAGGGCCAAGCTGGAAACACCCTCAGGGAGGAAAAGCTGCTTGTTACCCCTCAGAGGCAAGCACAGGCTGTGCAGGGAGGGTCTGGGGCGTGATGGGGCTCAGGGGGAATGGGAGGGAAGAGTGCCCAGCTCCTCGTGCTGGGCAAGGGCAGGCTGTGTTAATTCATCTCTGCCTGCTTAAACTCTGCTTTGGGGTATTATGTGATGAACTCTGCTCCTTGGTGCTGCTTATTTATCAAAACTGACTAAGAAACCAATGCCAACCACAGGGAACTGTAATGCACTTTGGGATTTAGGGAACGTGAGCATCTTTGACCTGCTGGTGTTGGATCCTTTGTCCAAGCAGTGGGTGAGGGCATCTCGCAGAAGTGCAAGCCCAGAGCATGGCTGTGCCAGGCTGAGGTGTGTGATGGAGCTTTGTGTGGGGTTTGCGCACGGTTGCACTAATGCAGCGCGTGGTGGAGCAGCAGCAGTGCTGCTCTGGAACCGTGTTCCTTCTCCTGTCATTTACAGCATTGTGTCCCCAGGCTCTAAAGTTTCTCTCTGGTGTTATGATACTGTTTTGGATGCGAGCATATAACCAAGCATTAAAAGCATTTTCTAGTTTAAACCAGGGACTTCTAGACTAGTTTATTTTTTTAATATCACTGTGATTGTGTAATGAGCTGTTCAGTTCCTGTTTGGTGTCTGGTGTAGCAACTGCTTGAGTGAAAGGAATACAACTTGCCCCATGGAAGGTGGTCAACCTGCACTGCTTGGCTTTGTGAAGCACAAGAAGGATGATGTGAAGCAAAGCTTGAGGAGTTCCCTGAATGCTGTGGTTGTGTTGCGTGGATGGGGTTGTGCGTGTTGGTGGGTTCCATTGATGGGTTGTGCCTGTGGATGTGTTGCGTTGCAGTTCTCCTAATGCTCTCTCTGAACCCTTTCAGCCCACGACCTTCCCCCGAGCAAGACGTCGGCGGCGCAGACGGGCAGCCACCTGCAGTGCCTCTCGGTCCACTGCACGGACGACGTGGGCGAGGCGAAGGGCCGGACTGCGGTGCCGACGTGGAGGTCCCTGCACTCGGACATCTCCAACAGATTTGGAACTTTCGTGGCCGCCCTGACTTGAACAAAAGAAATTATTTTTTTTCTCTTTTTAATTTCAAAGGGCCGCTACTGCTAGGTGGACTATTTTTCTAGGTTGGTACCTGCTTAGTGGCATATGGACTGGAAAGGGTTAATTTAAAGTAAACCTCAAGTTTTTTTTAATCGTCTGCCACAGTATGTTACCAGTGTTAACCCTTCTGCAGTTAGCACACTTTTGCTTAAGATTTTCCTGCTAGACCACTTTCTCCCATTATTCTGTAACCTTGGCATACATTCATAGATGAGGCCTTTTCCTTTTTCATCTCAGCGTATGTCCAAGTCATGTATGTCATAATAAGACAAAGCTCCTCCTCCTCATTTGCTTTGTTTTTCCTTTTTTTTTGTTTTGTTTTGCTTTGTTCAGTGCTTATTACAATGGTGATCCTGAAGAACAGCAGTTCAGGAATAAACGCCGGTTAAAGTGAAATGGTCATCATTATATTATATATTATATTGACACCCAGCTTTTGCCAGTCACATACAGGCCAAACGCTCTGGTGAACATTCAGGCAAGGAGCCTGCCCTTTCCCGAGACAGCGATGTGCTGCCACTGGTACCGTTCCACCGCCCCGGCGGGGCGAGGGCGCGCTCCTGTGTGTCCCCTGGTGCAGCCCAGGGATGGAGCTGTCAGGAGCGGTCTGGCCCTGGCGCGGCCGGGGAAGGGAGAGAGAAGTTTTTCTGAATGAGTCAGGAAGTTTGCTGGAAGTTCGGAGCCATCATCACCTCCTTCGAGTGCCCAGCACCCCTCTGCTGTGAGGGGCAGCGGGGCCGCAGCTTCTGGTCCTGGTGGTGCTCCCGCAGCTCCCACTTCATCTCTGATGGAGAAATTACCCCCAGAGCTGGGGCTGTCACCAGTGTGCCCTGTGTTCCCAGAGCCCGTTTTAGCTGAAGGAAGAAGACGCTGTTGGTCAAAGCGGGGTCCAGTGTCCCATGCCCTTGTCTGTGGGTGCCCGGCTCCTGCTGCAGCTGTCCTGGTGCGGTGGTGGTGGTCAGGGTCAGCCCATGCAGGGGATGCAGGTGCTGCATGCCCAGGGTCAGCATTTCCTAACCTGCCAGGGCAGGGAGACCCCACGCTAGACCCCCCCAGACTCATCCGAGGCCCCGTTTCTGCCACGCATTGAGGAACAGTGCTACTGCACGCACACAATTAAAGGAAAACCATACTTTTCCTGCTCGAGATAGATAATGCTCATTTGAGAAGGAAGTTGGAAGCAAACCAGATAAAACCACGACTGACGTGATGATCCAACCCTCCTGCTGCCTGTTCTTTGTGTTCCTCCGCTCAGGAACGTGCACCACCCTGCTCAGGGAGCTCCCTTCCCTCTGCTCCCCGAAGCCTTAGAACATCACTGGAGATTTAGGTTTTAGCTGTGAAATAAAGGTTGGCCTCTAGGGTTATTTATTACTTCTGTCATGAATTCACAGAATGTGTCCCTGCTCAAGGGACAGAGTGTGAAGACTGTTTTCTGGTTTATCTTTGATGATTGTGCTGGGACTTTAATTATTTTGAAGTAATGGTCTCAGTAGGCACCAATAGAGAGGAAATTCTGCCTAAAACACCAGTGGCACGGGGTGGTCTGAAATCCTCACTCGGTCGTATGGGGCTTCAGAGAGACTCACAGTGTTTGGAAGTGTTATTTGAATGTGCTGTTATTAACCATGCATGGATTGATTTCCTCTTATGGGTCTGGACAGTGACTTGGTTTTGGATAAATCTGGATAGTTTTGAACCTTGATTTTCAATAATATTTTACTTTCTGTTGAAGCTGGAGCTGCCACGAGGATGAGGATTTTTGCCCATCCTGGAGCAATTGGCTTGGAGCTGCCTCACACCCACTTGGTTTGAACAAAAGGATGGGATGGTTCTGAGTCCTGTGCCTTCTGTAGGTGTACGCTTGCTGTCGAAAGCTCAGAGCTCCTCCCTGTACCTGCAATAAAACATCACCATCCCACTGAAATATCTCTTGGTAGGTAATAATTTCCAGCCCCCACTCTGCAAGATGCCCCTTTGCCTGTGATTTAAGTCCTGGTTCACCCAAAGTGGTGTTGAACCTGAAATCCTGCCTGGCAAAGCTGTGCCTGCCGGGAGTGATGCTGTGGTGGGCTTGGTCCTTGGCTCCTGCCCCATCCTGGCAGCTCCTGCCTATATCAGCCAGGTGAGTCTTGGAGGAACCCCAGCAAAACACTTGCCTAGATCTATGATACCGCATTTCAGTGCTTACAGCTGAAAATCTAGGAAGAGTTCGTGGTCCAGTGGCATTCCTGCATGGAGTGCAGCCCCATGGCCAACTTCTTTGTTTTTAGTTTTTCCTGCTGCATTCAGGAGAACAGGTTTTTCAGGCTTCCTGAGGTCAGGGATGCACACCCTGCTACCAGGAAGAGACCTCTCCGTGAACGCATCCAGCATTTCAGATCTGTTTTAAAGAGAAATCCTCCTTGAAGCAGAAAAGTGGTGACTTAGTTGGTCTCACCCACCCTTTTCTTCTGGTTTGCTCTCTGCAGCTTGTACTCCTCTCCTGCAGTTGTCCTCATCCACTTGGGACTGACTTCTTCACTTGCTCATAGAAATACAGAGTGGGAGTGATTCTTTAACCCCCCCTGGAATCCTGACAGTTTCCAGTCCTGTGAGGTGAGGAGGGCTGTGCTGAAGCCAGGGACTCTGCTTCTTGCCAAGAGTCAGAACAGAAACGGTACATATCACTGACCAGGAAGAGCATCGCTTCATGCTCACAACCTGGTGTATTCTATTCTATGATTCTGTGACCTGGTGTATTCTATTCTATGATTTGGTACTAATGGCACACACAGAAGGCTAGAGCTTTGTGCAAAGCTTGTGTTGCCTGCAGTCATGTCATTGAACTCATCTTCTCCATTAATTTGACACTGAATGCACTGATTTATATTTTTTTACCATATGAAGGCTCAGCACAACCCCACAGAATTGAAATGATTTCCTTTTCTGAATAATAATACCTCCAGCTGAAGTATTATTCGAGAGCTGTAGGAAAAAGCCTGTGGTGCACGAGGTAAGTTGCACTCTCATGGAGAGGGCAGCTGAGGCACAGATGCAGCGGCCCATGTATTCCCCAAGTGACCAGGTAAAGCCAGGACAACGTAAACTGGCTCCTGCTCATCCCACAGGGCTTCCAGATGGGGGAGAGGTTGTGCCAAGAGGGGCAGGTTGTGCCAACACAAAGTCAAAGACCCGTGGTGACTGGCCTGTTAAGTTGTGCCCGATATTTGTATTGTGAACAACAGCTAAAATGCAGCTTCACATTTCTTTTGGAGACCCTGCCTTGCCCGGTGGTTTGGGTTCTCCAGCCACTGGGAAGGGGCAGCCTGAACCTCCCTGAGCTCCCAGCCCAGCTCCCTGCCTCCTTGTCTTCAAGTTAAAATGTAGTAGCAAACAGAGCAAAATGTCTCTTGCGTTTAAATTGGGAGGAGGGATGAAGTATCTCTGCCAGAGAGAGAGAGGACAGGCCTTATTTATGAAATACCCGTGTTACCCTTCCCCGGATCCCTTTTTCCCAGGGCTACTGGTTCTATGTTCTTCTAGCTCGGTTGTTAGAACAGCACTGGCAGAAGGTTTAGACTCATTTTATTTAGTTAAGGGTTCCATGGTGGGGGTAGGGTGGAAGGGAATGAACATCAGAATTGGGCCATTGGGCCAGTTAGGGGTTGTGTTGGGTGCTGTCCATCTGCATGTACATCCTTGGGGCTGCTTGGCTTTCCTGAGCCAGGATCAGGCTTCCAGGCACCAGCAACGAGGCAGAACGTTCCCACCTCCCGTGAGGGGAGCACAGGGCAGTGGGACACAGCGGGGGAGACAGGGACAAACCCGGTGAATTTGGGTTATTGCTGTGAAGCTGCAGTGTGAGGTTTTCTCCAGGACTGGCTTCACGGCTGCCCAATGGGTGGTGTGTGAGAGCATAACCCATTTTTATAGAGTTGTTTCTCCTTTATTGCTTGTGGCTAATGGAGGAAACAGTCTAATTTTGTCTCAGAAATTCTCTATTAAAATTGTTGGTTTGAGTCCATCCGCTCGTAGGTTCTGACTGATGAAACTGCAGGCTGTGATTTCCGGCTGTTAGAACTTTATCACTATTCACTACCCACGAATATTACAGCTTTAAAACAGCCTTAAGCAAAAGGATGTTATTTCTTTGTACTGAATTTGGTTCATGGAAAAGAAGAAAACACCTCAAAACACTGGTAATCCGTACTGCATCGCAAACTCTTCTGAAAATGTTATTGCACATGTAAAATACGAAAACTTGACTCTGCTGTGTGTTAGGCAATCCTGTAATCTTTTTTCTTTTTCTTTTTTGGGTTTTTTGGTTGGTTTGTTTTTTTTTTGATTCTTGTTAAATTCATTTCCTAAATGCTTGGTTGGAAGACTGTGACGATAGCTCATGAAACTGAGTGGTATTTTTCTTTTTTTTTTTTTAAATATGTAAAGTGCAGTCTTCTGTATTCATGCATATTGTACATATCTGTATATGTTTTACTGAGCAACTAAATAACAATAAATATGATGTTAATGGTGGCTATTGTAGATTTCATGCCATGTTTGTTTGTGTCTGGAGTAAGTCCTTCTCCCCCTGAGATGGGAGAAGTGAAGGATCTGGTCACACACAGGTAAGCCCTGAGCCTTGCGGTGGTGGGTACCAGTCCTGGCCGTGGTGTGGGGAGCCCCTGGCCAGGCGCCGGCTCCCCGCGGTGGTGGGTGTCAGGGAGGCCTGGTTGGGCTGATCCGACAGATGCCAGACCCAGGACCCTGCTGAGCTGCCCTGTCTGCAGGGAAAGAGAAACCCCCAGCCCTGAGGAGGCTCCTCCCAGGTTCAAGCATCCCTGGCACAAGAGGCAGATCCCGCTGTGAGCAGGGAGCTGGATCTGCCACAGCACTTCTGGAGAGACTTTTGGGCTGAATTATGTGAACAAGAAGTAAGCAGGCAGAGCTCTTATCAAGGTTCTTCAAACCCCTACCTCTCTGTTGAATAAATCTGAATAGATTTCGAACTCTGAATCCTTTCACATTCCTGTGAGCTTTCCAAGGAGTCCTTCAGGAGAAATGCTGCACGGTGTTTTCCAAAGCAAGAAAACCCCATGCAATAGCCCAGGCAGTGTCCAAACACGTCGGGTTTGAGCTGAAGAAACACCCCTGTGTATGGTTCATACCTGCGGGAAGCACACAAGTGCTCTCCTCGTGGGTTTCCCATTGCTGTGAGGTGCCAAAGCTGCAGCCCTGGTGCTGCCCTGTGCTTCCCAGTGTGAGATGGGGCCACTGCGTGTCCTGTGCAGCTGGGGGATGCTGTGCCCGTGCCTGCACCTCAACAGCAGCACTTGCAACCTAGGAACAAACACGATGCATTGGATCAGGAGGCACCGAGACGCTGTGCTCCCTCTGATCCCTCCACAGTGTGCTGTGACACTGAAAGCACGTGTGGAAAAAGTACCACAGAACCATAGGGCGCTTTGGGTTGAAGGGACCTTAAAGCTCACCCAGTTCCACCCCAGGCCACAGGCCGGGACACCTTCCACTAGCAGGAGTGAGGGCGTGAAACTCATCGGAGCCATCTCAGGCCTGTGGAGGGAGAAAGCTGTGATTAATTTTCAAACCATACTTTCAACATCCTTGAAGGGACAAAACAATGTATGGAAGAGAAGTGTAATCATCTGCTTTAGAGACGTGATCTCACCGCTCCTTATGTTGGCTGGTGTGGGGATAGACAGAAATTTGTTAACTTGGCTATAAAAAGCTGGTTTGTTTTCTCTCTTGCTAAATCTGGTAATTATACATTAGATGCTTTGTAACTCCAGCTTTAAAAATACACAACTTGCTGGCTTTTCTTCTGCATGCAATCCTCCTGGGGAGTGAATCTTGTCACAGCGCTTTGCTCCTCGCTCTGTAAGTAGTGTGCACATTTCCCCCCTAACTTTCAGCTCAAACCCACTGAAATTATTGAAACTACTGTTTCAGTATTGGTGGTTTTTTAAGTTTGGACTTCTTTTTGATCTGGAGAGAGGAATACAAGCAGCGTTCCTGGCAGTGCAGTGCCTTCTTTGCAGTGGAAACCCACAGGAGATGAGACCTTCCCCTCTCCTCATCCAGTCGCCTGTTCTCTGTGGGACCAGTGCTGGTCTGGCAACAGGGAGCTTATGATGTTCTTCATTCCCACTGATGGCTCCCAACCTCTCTCCAGCCCATCCCAGAGCCGCTCAAGGGATGCTAACCCTGTACATGGTCCAAACTGGCCACGAGCTCTGCTGATAGTTGGACAGATCTCCTTCCATGCAGAGGCTTCTGTTGCTGCTCCAGCAGTGAAGCTGCCCCTTGGCACCAGCAATGCTCCTCTCCAAGCTCCTGGCTCCCAGAAGCCAGCAGGAGCTCAGTGTTCACCCTCATCACGTGAACAGGTGAGGATAACTGAATGCTTTTTGCTTTCCTCCTCCTTGTCTGGCTTTACTTGTCCTCTGGTAGCGTTTGTGACCGCTGGTGATGCCAGCACAGTGCTTGCTCACACCCAACACTTGCCTTTGTCCTGGTGCTCTGTGCTCAGAGGCTCATTTCTGATGTGTGTCAGTGTTAGCAGGGAATATGGTTTATTAGCTAAAGAAAAGGAAGTAGTTGGTCAGAGAGCTTTTGTAGTTCTTGCTTTCCTAATGGTTGTGCCATGTGCCCTGTGACTCTGCCGAGTTGTAGCCATGTCTCTTTTCCCAACCTATTTAGCTGATTTAATTCCTTTGAGGCTTTCGGTGTTCCTGTCGTGGAGGAGCCCCTATAAATACGTATGGCATGTTCAGAATCAGGGATCCACCGCCAGCACAGCTGGATCCCGCATGCCAACATCTGCCTGGTCCCTCTGCAGCCGGTTTGGCCACCAGGAGCTGTTCCCTGCGGAGCCTCCCCTGTGAAGCTCTCGGCCGTGTCTGAGCAGGGCACACAGTGGCGGTACACAGCCTCACCTCTGGCGTGGCTGTCCGTGCGAGCCAGAGTTGTTTAAACTCCCGTATCCTTGGCTGCTTGTCTGTGCTGGCTGTTCACAGGGTGCTGCTGGTTGGGGGAGTGTGGCAGGAGGCTTTGCATTCCCTGTGGACCAAAGCAAATAATCACAGGAATGAAAATTTGGGTCAATGATATCCTTCTGGCTGAGAAACCTGTTAGAAAATGGTTTCTTTATGAAACCATTAGAAAATGGTTAGGAAATGGGTTTCTTTCAATGTTAATTGAGTATTTACCAAAGTCTCCAAGCTATATTCCTGGAGCAGCTACTTTCCTGCCCGGTGAGCAGAGCTCGTCACCTCCGCAGCAGTTTTAGCTTTATGGCCAACAACAACATGCATCTTTTGCTCGTAAAGAGGCCGGAAGCTCCTTGCTCAGGTGAACTCGTAAGACCGTGGCTGCTGGGCAGAGCTGGACATGGAGGTGGTGTCTGCTCTGAGCTCTCCTTTCTGAGGCACTGCAGAGATCAGTAACGACGTTGCAGAAAGTGGAGGTGTGAAGACCTGAAGAAAACCATCGAGGTCATCTTCGGTCGGTTAGAGCAGGGCTGCTCCCTGCTCTCCAACCCCAGAGCTCTGACCAGCACCACTAAACCTGGCAGAGCACCTGGCGGCTCTTAACCTTTTAGTTAAGAAAATAGAACCAACCCACCCTTTATCCGTGCTGTTGGGTGGGGGTAACGCTGGAGGAGATGGAAGGGAAGAGCCCGCGGCCGGCCAGGCTGCGCTGGGGTTC